TTATTCTCACAAAATAAATGAATGCTTAAATGACGTTTCTGTCAATTGAAAAAACAACAGTAAAATGGCTCCTTTACATGCTAAGTTAAACTAAATATTTTTTCTTGACAACCTGCTTACATTTAAATGAAACCAGGCCAAATTTGGTCAATAGTATGGATTACATATAACAAAAAGAATCTTAGTCTACGCTAATACAGGGATCAGAAAGCAGCAAGTTCATTTAAAGCCATACAATTACTTAGCAAACTAAGATACGGCACGTAAGTTAATCTGCTTTTAAAAGGGAGTGCTTGCATAGTAGCTTTTTGACCTATAATTAAATGTTACTTGCAGGAATCACAGCGAGGGCAGAATTTGCTGATGAAAGGATAAACCCCCAAATCTCACAAAACCCCAGCTTTGCCATCAGAAATCAAACCGCGTTTGCAAATCCTGTCCCTGCAGAGCGAGCGCCACGTTCCGAGGCCGACGCGGGTCCGCTCCGCGCCCCGATCCCCACGGAGCAGAGCCGATCGGCTCCGGCTCAGCCCCCGGCCCCGCACGCAGCCCGGCGGCGCCGGCGCTTCCCGGATGCCGGGATTCGGGAAAAGCGCGAGCCCTCCGCTAACGGGAGCGGCACGATGATTTCTTTCACTGCTGATTTTTGCCTCTGTATTTTATTATACGACGGCAAGTCTATAGCAAATGCTTTCCTGGGCTACAAAATTTCCTATTATCCGCTCCTGTTTTCTTTGCCCTGGGATTTGGGAATGCCTCTTCATGGAGACGGGCAATATGTCATCATTTTGTGGGACTAACAGGCCTGCCCATCTTGCCTGTCTGAGTTAGGGACACCGGGGCTCTGGTTTGTACACTGCTGCCAAAATGAGGGAGAAAAAGCTGTGACAATAAAAGAAAAGGGGAAAATCTAATTATCACTAAATTCCTTATTAATTCCTCTCTGTTATTTATTATGCCGCAAAATACATTCTCACTACTGAAAAGAACCTTAAAATAAGGTCTCTCTTACTTGCCCTACATTTTGAAATAACTTACTGGATACTTGGATTATGTATTTTAACAAATATCGTCTTCTCTATTCATCATTTCTCTTGTCTTTTTGATCTTTTTTTTTCTACTTATCATGTTCTTTATTTGAAACAGATTTTTAACAGATAATCTTGATCGTTATAACAATATCTCGCTTGCATTTTATTCAAATAATTCTTAAAAACAGCTTAAAAAGCCGTTTGGAATAACATCAAGCTCTCCATCAATCAAACGAAAAAATTCCGCTGGCGGTTGTATAAACATCAGATCAACTCTGATGTCTTCAAGGATTTCAGAGTGAACCATAAAAAACTCCATTAACTTCTGACAAAGAATGCAAATTAATCACAACATGGGGTGAAATGAAATTAAAGGCTCTTTTCTAATCAATGACAAGGCAGGATGAAATATTTGCTGCTCCCGCTCTCCCCGCGCTCGGGCCGCCCGGATGCTGCCGCTTCCCGCGCAAGGTGCGAGCGGATTCACCCGCCGCCGCGGCGCTGGCGGCCTCCCCCCCCCCCAACAAAACACACTAATCATCCGAATCTCAGGTGCATCCAATTTGTTATTCACACTCGCCGGTGCCAGTGAAAAGCCTGGCGTAGACAGATGCACCAGGAACCTTAAATGACAGTTTTGGCCTCCGGAAGTGCGATCGCTACAGCAAAATCTAGTACAGCCTCCAGGTGAAATGTCTGGAGCTCCATATGGAGCAGGGAAAATTAACAACAAGATGAAAATCGCTGTAGCAGCGGGGAGCCTGCATTTTTTTGAAAAAAAAAAAAAATTAAAGATGAGGAAAGAGAAGTAATAAATTAATGGGGTGTGAAAACATTCAAAGCTTTACAATACCAGGGGCACTATTTGCTCAGATTTGGGGTGGGGGAAGCGGGGAGGGAGGGGGCAGAAAGGAGGGGGGGAGACAGGATTTTATTTTTTTATTTTTTTAAACTTTGGGTCATTTTCATGCAATTTATTAACTGCTGCCTGGAATTACGGCCAAAGGAAGGAAAACATTTCTCTAAACGCAAAAGTGTCTTAAATACAGTCGTCATAATCTGCGCTTTCCTGCAGTCGATCAAGTCCTCGGCAGCTTAGCACTGCACATTTCTTTGGGATATTTCCCTAATGGATGTATCATGCTTTCAAGCTACTGCTTTGCTATGAAGTTTGACTACAAGCCGAGAATATTCAGTGGGCAATTCTGTTCACTTTGCCTAAATTGCATTACCATTAAACAAGTCACTGCCCCCATCTTGTTTTTTTTATATAATATACTGAATTCGGATTTACATGATTAATTTTACTCTCTGAGTTTCTTCAGATGCTGCACGTCTTTGGCATTCCAACTTAAAATTTAACTAAATAATAAAGGGAAAAGGAAAATCCAGAGCCTTTAATTTTATATTTTTTCCCAATTCTTTCTGCAAAGACACATAAACTGCCATCAAAAAAAAGAAACAAACAGATATTTAAGGTTTAACTTTTTAAGGATATATGAAAGTAATTTCCCCTATGTTCCTTCTTCAACTATTTAAAAAGCTAGACTAGGTACCAGGGAGTGGGTTTGGTGAAGGGGTTTTCCTTTCATTTGTAAATGTTTACATAGGAAAGAATTTTATTCAAAAGAGTCTTTTTCCTCTCTGTGTCTGCGTGTGCACCATTCCCATTAGTGTTAATAGAGTTATGCAAACACATCAGGGGAAGAATATACCCTTAAGTGCTTATGTTTGTATCTACAGAAAATCCTATGAGCGTCATACTCTGCTTCTTCCAAAAGGAATTTTACATTAGAGCAAACAAGTAACAGCACATCGCAACGCTGTGCCAGGGAGAAAAGATAAAAATAAAAGAGAACCACAACCATTAGCCAATTCCGAAGCGTGGGGGATTATTAACAACAAGGCTTTCCTTTTTCCAAGTTTTTTAATGGGTAAGTTTGTTCCAATCTTTGCTATGTCTTATTTTCTTGTTCAAACCGCTGCATTTGGCAGTTTGCTACAGCTCACCAAGTGAACTGAGTATTAGGAGGGAACACGGGCGCTAACTCGCGGCTCCCGCGCACGGGGCTGCCGAGACAGGGCCCTATCGCGCCCACCACATCACACATTTCATTAGCTTCACTCTTTTGAGGGAGCCGCTGAAGCGAGCAGGATTTACCCAGCCAGGGAGTGCAGGATCAGGCCCTGACACGCTGCAGCAAACAGGTATTTCGAGAAAAACAAGCAAAAAACCTAATTACCCACCTAATCAGAAAGGGCTGCTCGGGGCTCCTGTGTGCAGCCAGCACACGTCCAAAATACACAGGCTTCGCACTGGGAAGCCCTAGGAAAAGCAGTTGCTTGAAAAGCTTAATAGCTGCATTTTAAAGTTTCACCTCCTCAACTATTTTACATTAAAAATATACACAATTTCATGGACTACTGACTTGCCAAATATTCTTTTACAATCCACAGCCATTTTCTAATTAGGAGAGCAAAATGGATCTTCAACTGGCAATTGTGGCTTGCTCCCGATTCGGAAATCATCTTTTTGCACAGACGTCATGTACACACCAACTTCCTTCCAAGCTCCAACACTTCTAGGAACAGAGGAGCATCCTAAAGCACAACACAAGTCACTTCCATGGGGTCTGATAGGGCTCCAAGATGCTCGAGCAGCACGAGGGGGTCTGCCCCGCGCCGAGGGGCCCCTTCAGCACAAGAGCCTCCTTTGCAGCCCTCCTCCAAGGAAAGGGCTCGTTTAAAAGCATGGGTAAATATCTAAGGTACGGTCTGCCAAGCAGTTAAGCCTCTCTTTTTCAATCAGCAAACATTTTCCGTATGAGAAAGTAAAAAATCAGTATATTTCTACAGATGCAGGATCTTTACAAGTCCATAAAAGTGTCAGGAGAATTTCCTTAAAACAGCTTATAAAAATGGGAGCGAGAATGAGCCCCAGCCTATTATTCAATAACCATGTTTGTGAGGCATCTGCATAATCTAACCATGCATAAATTAGTATGTGTATTACAACAGTTATTTGCATAATAATAGCAAGTTAATAGATGCTTAAAGAGCACAGACCAACACCACCTTTAAATCAGACATGCCTCCAGGCACTCTGATCTATACAGACCAAGATGCAGAAAACATTGTTCATAAAACATGAAAACATAAAAACCACATCCAAATAATTCATTTTAGTCCTTGGACACTTCATTTTCTCCCTCTCCCAGCAAAGAATAATTTTAAGTAGTACAGAATAGTTGTTACTATGAATCCTAGCATCTATCTTGCAATAACAATTTAAAGCAACCAACAAACCTATTTCTGGAGGCTGCTGTTGGCTGCTATTTTTAAATATTCACCATTACCAGGAATAAACATATAGTATATATTAGCAAAGTAAAATATTATACATTAATACAGTGCTCAGCATTGGCCTACCTATTGCTACTGAGGTTAGACACAGTTTTACTGCTGGCTTCAATGAAACTGAGTTAAGTCAATGGGAAGTTAGAAAATGACACTATCTAAATAACACACCAGCATTAGACCCCCTTAAAATGGAGAATCTGGGAATCTCTTAAGTAATCAATTCACATTATACTTTTGATTTGGGGACTCTTAGTCCATTGTACTACTGTTCAAAATTGGAATTAAAAATAAAAATATAAAAGAGGCATAGATACATCTTCCTGCCTCTAAAAGAACTGCTGTACATACTGGGATATTTTGCAAATGCCTTAATCTCACAACAAAACAATCATTAACATTGTCATAATTTTCATTCTTTTGAGTGTTTGAAAATAATAATAATTTTAAAAAATCAATAGAGACTTCTAAATGACTCGTTCAAGATACCACTTTTCAATTTAACAGGACAGATTTATTTGTATGTGGCTCAAATGTTCACAATTGCTCCCTGCACCTTCATACATAGGAATGAATGTCACAGTGGCAAACGGCAGTAATGAACAATCTTACCTGAGGATATGGAAACCTCCCAAGAGCAAGCTGGGAAAGGAAATAATATTTGTCTAGTTACATAGATTTGCATGGAGGGCACATTTTCTTAAAGAGAGAAAAGTACTCAACTCTTGCTATTGTATAAAGCAGAAAATGCCAGCAACAGTAATCCTGCAAACGCAGGAAGGGCTGTATTTAGAATGGAGTTGTTCTCACTAGTTACCCCTTGTTTTACATTTCTGCACATTTCTGCATGTCTCATGCTCCTTCATCTGCACCACTTAGGAACCTCTTTGATGCACAAGTTCCTGAGGACTCTAAATTAAACCAGTTCAGTCTCAATGGTGAGGCCAGCGACACTAACCTTTGCGGATAATTATCTGCAATGAAGAGGTATTGTAGAACGTGCATTGAACTCCCAAAGTTCTTGCTTAACTGGCTCAGAGTAAAAACTGGGTTATGTAGCTGAGGTTTATTTCCTTATTGGTGCTAAATCCAGCTAGGAAACCGAGAGTGGAAGCTGGAGTAAAACTGTAGCACTTGCAATTGAATGTTTTATGTTTTTCAAGCCTATTTTCAATTACACATGATGCAAAATTGACATATAACCCAGACTGTTTTATAAGTCGATCGATGTGTTACTAGAGTATCTACCAGTAGCAGTGTTAGGCCAAACAATACTATTATTTTTGCAGACTTCCACTTGGGGATCTTTGGGCTTGCTGGGTTTATAAGACCAACATGTACAGTATGTAAAAGGAATCACAGTTAAAAGCAACTTAAAAAGTGGCAAAAACAAGACCTCTAGGGAATGCTCAGTGCATCACTGGAATAGGAAGCAACACTAAGATGGCAGGACAGAGCAGAACTCTTCCCTTTCTTTAAAGTTAAATATTTTAAGCTAACTTTCCTTTCTTGCTGAGTTGCCAGGCTCAGCCCAAAGGGGCAGAAGCTGCTAAAATAACACAGACAGAATCCTTTTCCCTTTAGGAAGGACCAACCCCAGCTTCCAAGGTTCTGCTCGAGACCATGGGACAGCCAGGAACCTGCCAATGCCAAACACCTTCCAGAAAACAGAGGAGGAGAAATCCTGGTATTTGCTATGGCTACTGATTTAAGAATAGTCATTACAGCAGCTGCGGATCTATAGGAACATCATATTTATCCCAGTGTATAACAAGGTAATTATAGGTATCTGCACGGAGCATCAGTCTGCAGACCTTATTTAAACGGAAAACGCGCTGCTGCCTCAGTGACAACTTCTCTCTATACATTTACATGCTCTGACTCCCTTCCCCGACCAGCTCTGGCCACGCAGGTCTTTGCCGGGGCGCCTCCGGAGGCAGCAGAATCCCCAGGAAAGGAGTTTTCCAGCACGCAGAACTATGCAGCACACAAACCAGCCCTGAAGAACCAGAAATGCATCAGGAACAAGTTATTTGGTGGTGTTAAAAGCACATGTGTCTCGGTGAGGCTGCTCCTTGCCTGGGACCAGCAAGGCACGACAGTGCTGAGCGGGTCGGGCGGCAGCTGTGCAGCCCCACAACCACCACGCGGTTCATCCGGCCAGGGCTGCTTCCCCCCCGCAAGATTGTCAAGGTATTATAAATTAAGAAACTTACCAAAGAGTATGTAATCTTCCCTGAAATAGCCTGCAGATATGTCACTGTACTAAATGTGTTTCAGATTTAATGAAGCTTTAATGTCCTTTTTAATTTTGCCTGTTTCTATATCACCAGGGGTCGAGCAAGGCAATCAGCACTCAAGAGGGTGGTTTGGTTTAAAACTAGGAAAAACTCATTTGCTTATGAGTTGCACTGTATTTTCTTAATTAAATTTACTAAGTAAAATGGTTTAAGTTCAGCCAACCAATGACCTCTGTATGTAGATTTAGATTTATAAATAGCATCACAGTTAAAGTAAAGGAAAAAAATAACCCAAAAAAACAAACAGATTAGAGCTTTACTAAGTTTTTTTTTTTCATATTCTCTATCATCTGTACCAAAGAAGCCATTTAAACATATGCTGCATAAGCCCAATGCAGGCTGCAAAAGATACAGACTACTAAGCCAAAGCGCTATCAAAGCCTCATCTCCTCTGCGTTTACGTGATGAAACTCAGGAACTTTAAATTTAGTTTTTAATGCATTTTAACTAAAATAAGGTATTTCCATTCTGACTAGTTAGGTTCAGAAACGGATCGGTATTTTGTGCAGGTTTGGAGGAGGGAAGGGAATACTTAAACTTTACGGAGTTGGTTCTCGTTTCCCTCTGAGCAGCTTCACACTACACAGGAACCTGAAAAAACCAAGAGTAGGAAAGGTGCAGGGCATTGCACTGCCAGCCCGGTACAGCGGGAGAGGAGAACCACACCATGCCAAGGAGGCAGAACAACGCGCTCCTGCAATATTTTACTTTTTAAGGAACTGTGCCCATGTATTTTTTTTTAAAAAAGCTTTCTTAAACATGAGAGCACTTCAAATGATCATTTTTGTGCTGTTCAGGGAGGCTGCATCATGAAAAATGCTGTAAATCCCGTGGACTTCCAGGTGGAGGTATCTGACAGGAACATGCTCCCGGCCTCGGACAAGGGAGGCACATGGAGGCACTGGCTGCACCACCTCTGGAAGAAGAATTGACAAGCTAGAGAACAGGTAAGCCCAAATACCTAAATAAAACACAGCAAAGCAGTGTGCATGCATGCTGCTTTTTATCAAATGATACCAAAAATACCCTAAAAACAAGTAAAGGGAAAGCCATACGAATAAGATGGCCAGCTTTGGTAGCACCAGGTGCCTAAACCCTACGTGCCGAGCAGTCCTAAGACGGCTGGAAAGCAACTCTAGCTACACTCAACCTGTTACCTGTGTAAATACAGATATTCAGTGCACGGATAAATGAAGGCAGAATTACAGTGACTTGTTGAAATAACATAAATAATCATTTCAGAACTGAAAAGGGAAATCCAGAAGTCCTAACAAGCCTCTCTATCAGTTTTTCAAGGTAATTGGTTGCCTCTTGGCTGCCTACCTTGTTAATCTGAATTGCAATGGCAAGCGGAGGGGAACAGTCCTTATCCTGCTCAGAAAGTGGCTGAGCGAAGGAAGTTCAGAACTGTTTTTAGGACACCCTGGCAATAAAGCCTTCACTTAGATTATTGGCTGTGTTGTGCAAGTTGTTTTTTAATTTACAGTTATACTGAAAAGCATGGGATGTTTTTATTCTTAATTTAGACACATTCCATGTTTCTCAGCATAACTGCAAATTGAAAATAAGCACTTACAATATCGCTAGTGATCTAGCTGAAGGAGGACTTTATAGTCTGAAATGTTCTAAAATTTGTTCTTAATTACTTTGTGCACATTTTACACAATTAAATTTCCATCTAAGGATTTTGCATTTAGATTGTGCACTGCAGTTAAACCCTCATTTTATGGAAAAGCAGCCGCCGCTTCGGAACATTCAGACACAGGAAACTTAAAAAATCAGACTTAACTACTGGATAACATAAAATTCCCTAGGTGAAATTCCATTCCAAGACCAATTTATACATTCCTAGATAGATGGCTTAAAATCACCTGAAACTCTGCAGGGTATGGACCTTAATAAATATTAAATACCTCAAAAACTACCCTAAGATTTTTCTTGCCTTCTAATATCAATTTCACTGTCCTCTTATTGCACAGGAAAAAAAGAGAATCCAAAAGGATATAACAGCAATTTACCAGCGTTAAAGTGCTTCTGAGGTTAAACTGACAACAAAGAAGAACAGAAACACAAAGCATCTTGAAGTAGGGTTTCAATTAAATGTGCAGGATTTAGTAATGCAGGACGAAAAAAGAGTTACAAATTAATTTAATCTTCTGCCTATAGTTTGCAGCTGCACTCCAAAGTGTCTGGGGCTTAAGAACAAAGCCTTGAAAGGCCTCAGAGTGAGGAAAGCTTCAATTTTTAATGTATAACGCCATTAGCTGATAACTTGTGGAATCTGCGACCCCTGCGGAGGGGCATAAGTGCGGGTAACAGAGACTGATGAAGTGACATATTTGTTCACGTCTACAACTATGAGAAAGAAGGTTATTACTAATACCGGCAGGCCCAACAGAAATATGCCCTAATAACCTTTGGGACATTCCTTGGCTTGAGCAGATGAGTTCAAGATCTCTCTGCATAAAGTATATTAAAAATCAAAGCCTAATTCACCTTAATTAAAGATAATTAGTTTCACTTTGACTTCTTTTAAATATGAACTATAGTAAATGCACTGCAAACTAAAGCCTGCGCACAATCATGATTAAATTGCACATTTCTTCCTATCCACAAACGCACTCTATTGCCTGCCTTTCACCACTGCTCCTTCAGAGGTGTTCAGAGCAGCAGCGTGCCGTAGCCTTCCCAAAAACAAGAAACGCCTGCGGGTGAAATCCAAAATCCAAGTGAAATCAATTCACGGCATCTGCCACGTGCTGAAGTCACACAAATGATAAAGATGAAGCAGACTGCATTGAGTAAAGATGCTGCATGCTTATTTTTTTGCTGGAATCAGATTAAAAAAAAAAAAAAAAAGCAGTCCCTAGGAGGAAATATTTAAAAATACCTGGGATAGGGGCATTTATAAATCACAGAGCCGGTCCTACTGCTAGGACACACAGCCCAACTGAAATCACATCCTTGATTTCACAGAAAGGAGTAACCACCCCGTCCCTTCCTGTTCAGGGCCTCCAGGAAAATCCTAAATCCAGTCTCACGGATGGAAAACCAGCTCGGCACCCCCGGAGCGAGAGCGCCCGTCTCCACTCGCGCCGGCACCAGGAGCTCGGGCTCTGGCAGGAGCATCTTCCTTGCAAACCCATTACAATAACGTAGACAAGGCAGCCTCAAACAACAAAAGACTTCAAATTTTTAACTTTATTAAAACAGAAACAGCTGCTCTACTCAGTGTGGGAAAAGGCAACCACAATCTGTATTACATAACCCTACACGCCATGTATCCACCCAGCTGATATTATCCTTTAATTGTCCATTCATCTATCTGCTCAGGTGGGCCCG